GACGACACGGTTCTTGAATATTGCATAACGCACATCGGGCACGCACACAGGGCCCGGATCGCAGACACGGTTGAAAATGAAATAAACATAGCGAGAACACATTGATAAAAGCTTTTCCTCGTGCACGGATTTCATGGCGTCCACGATCCCTACCTCTTTTCCGAAAACTTTCCATTCCAAAATCCGCCTACAGTAGGTCGGCTTGATGCGCTATTGGACGGCGCGGGAGTACGTAGAGCCGGAAAGTAGGCTCGCGTGAGCTACGATCGCGCCCATATGGAGCTCACAGTGCGGAAGACAAGGACGGTGCTGTACCTATCTCCGGCGCTCGATCAGGCCTCGTATACTCGCTTCAAACGCGGTGGAATGAGATAACAGTTCAAAACAGAGGTATGCATTCGCCAAAACTTATCGCATCCGAGTCTTTGTTGTCACTCCCCCCGGCGTTTCCAAAAAGCGGCCGGACTAGCCGTCTGGGTACGCGGCAATCAGTAGCTAAGCGCTGTTCATTTAATCAACACTCCGTATACGATAATATTTACATAGTCATATAAGTTTTGTATAGGTGTAAGCCCGCGGTCGTACGCGTATGGATGCGCGTAAAAGTAATTAGGAATTTCGTGCTTTTTCTGTGATTGACAAACTGTGATCAGTTTTTTCGTACTCTATGTGATTTAAGATAAGCAGTGATTAGCTTATGATTCGAATGAGGACAAGAGGCTGGGATTATATCAAATAATAATTGTTATTAAAGGTGAATGTTTGTACGTGTTAGCAGCAGGAATCCTTAGACCGTCGCCACCATTTTGTCTTCGTTGACGTTGAGGCCCGGCGGCGGACCGGGCTCCGTCATGCTCAACAACTTGTCCGTGACGAACGCAGGATTATCGGGTTGGTAACATTCAATATAAATTCACATACAGATCTTGCAATTCATCATTAACTTTATAAACCTTTTACTTTTCATTGATTATGCATTATCATTTTTTTACTTTTCATTGCTAATATTACTAAACTGTCATATGATTATATGTCATCATAATTCCAAATGCACATATAAACGTATATTCAAATACAATATAAATACACGATTGCACATATATACATGCTTAACAAGTTTAATGGCGGTTTTTATTAACTCATCTTATTTTAACTGTTAAAAAATAACATTATGAAAATTTAAATCTATATGATATAAAAAATTCAATTTAGAGAATAAACTAGCTGTAAGTGGAATTCTGTCCTAAGGCAATTAAGGCATCGTGCCTCAAGGCAAATTGCTGGAACTTCCCTTACCGTAACGAAATGTTAGAAGAATACTGAATGTTTTGAAATAGATTATTATTAATATTGTAACATTGTCTAATATTTATAAGAATTATATAAACTGAATTGCAAAGCTGAAATTATTTGTTTAAAGTATATTAGAACTATAGTCAGAATTAAATATAAAATCTGAATTATTTTCATTATACAAAAAAAATTTCCAAGAAAACTCCGTTCTCTCAAAAAGTCGATTTCTATTTTCTGCACTCTTTGCTCCGTATCTCCGAAACGGCTGGACCTGCCTTTGCCAAAAACTAATCAGCTCTTTTCTCTATCAATAGGAATCGAATGTTTTTTGAACCATTCAAATCGGTTGATCCGTGCGCCCGAAAACGTGACTGGAAATTTGTATCCATACATACATACACACGAACACATTCATTTTTTTGAAGTATGTAAAATGTTTAGAAACCTTCAAAACGTCAAAAAATGTAAAAATTTTTGATTTCGATTTTTGGACGATTACATTAACTTACCCTACGGGAAGTTAAATTATGTATTAACCATCTATGAGCCCGCGTAACTTGCGGGTCACATTCTAAATTTTTCGATATTTCACCATATAATTTTTTTTTCGTGACATGACCATATTTCTTTATTCTACGACGTTGCCAAAACAAATAATATCAATATTTATGACCTTTGAAGGGATTTTCAATCTGAAATAACATTTTCATGCATAGAAGTACGATCATTATAGGCCGCTGTAACTTGAGTCTCATAATTCATTAATATAAAAAAAATCGTTCAAACATACTTTGCTGCATTTGATTTGCATGTATAGGCCTATAATTACTGATTTTTGTATACCAATTTTTTGTACGTGAAACAAAAATTCGGCCGATTGAGTTCATAACTAATACAACACATTCATATTGGATTCATTGTAGCAACAAATATTGCAAATAGAAACTATCCCAAACATAATTTAAGTATTTTATATTTAGCTTATTAGACTAAAAAACTACCAGAAAAATTGAACTAACAAATGGTAGCTTAAAAATATTTTAGAATATAATTAATGCCTTTTAGAAAATGCCAATATAATGAAACGATCAAATATAATAAAAATTACAAGGAATGCAAAACATAATTCAACAGAATTGGATATAAGTTTACCGATCAACTCTATAGACACTTCAATCTTAATAACTGCCTACCATTATCACATTCATAAATCATAGATTTCATTATTTTATGCACACAATACAATAATAAATCTTTAGGCAAACATTTAAAAGAAGAAAGGTAATAATATTTACTTTATAACTTACATCATTTTAAAATTAGTTATGACAATTAAACTTAACAACACTAAATTTGTTGTACTTTTCACCTGGTAATGCGGTATTATTAGAATTATCAATAAGTATTTATGCGGTGTATAGGTGTATATAACGTAATAGCCGTATGTACAAATATGAAGTATTATAATGTGCAAAGTGCTCTTAATTTCGTGGGAATTAAAATTGATAGTTTTATTTAATTATTGCAATGATGTGAGGCCATTAACAAAATTTTGTTTGTATGCTGTTATAATTTGGTTGATTAAAATTATTGTTTTCACTACTAATGAATTGTAACATATCTGTATCAACATTAACTTTCAATTTCACATTTTTTTAAGAAACAAATTATATATGGTTAAATAAAAATTAATTATAAGTAAGATTTAAATATTAATACTTTATCTTAAACATGTTTTAAAATGATTTATTTTATTTTATACAAATTTATATTTAGTTTCATTTGTAATTCAATTTTTTGTTAATTTAAAAAAAAAATCATATTACGTTTTTTATAAAAACATGATATAAATTATTTGTACTACATTTTCATTTTAGCACCCCATTCAACTTTAAGAATCATAATAAAGTGTTCATTCCTCATACGAATCTCGTATTCATATTCATACTAAATCCCGTTTATGTCTCACATAAATCTTTTATGGACCTCAAGAATTCTCTCTGTGAAATTTATATATACCTATGATATATTTAGAAGGTAGATTTGCCAAACGACATTAAATGAGATTGATATATGAAATTAGTTAAATTTAATTAGTTCCGATATTATGATTCAAACCAAATTATTGTTTGAATTTTTATATAAATTTATTGCTTATTTTTGACTCTGTATTTTGAAAACGGTTGTGTGTTTATTGAAACTCGTGATTAGCCATTGATATAAATAAATTCATTCGTATCCTCTAAGCCCGTGAAATTAAACACTTCAATAATTTTTGTATGAAATAAATGCACTAATGATAAATGTCATTAGTTATAAATTTGGCATGTACTAGCTTTTATGTATTTTAATTATGCCAATGTTGCAAAATTTCTTCAATTTGTTTCAGATTTGCACATAATTTCAATAAATACCTCATTTCTGTAACTATTATGTAAAATTTCTATCAACTGTTCAAGCTACCTGTTACTTATTCTTTATTTAAAGGACACCAAGGTAACTTATATTTTTCCAAACTGTCTGTTATTTGTTCATCCATATCTTTCGTCCAAGTCAACCATGGAATCATTGCCGATCCTCGTGTAAGACCGTGTTATTGTATTGGAAGGTGTGAATTAGTCGAAGTCACGAGCACTGCGATACGGTCGTTGCATTTCGTTCCCTCACATAGTCTTTGTCCAAGTTTTATGCAAATATACTAGATATATGTTACTCAGATATCTTACCATAGTATCGTGTGTGTGATTTCAACAAATGTGTGCAGAAAAATTGTGATTGAATGAAAAATCAGTGTTTGTCGCAAATAAAGAAACATCTGGTGAGATAATTATTCAAGCGGAATTATAGGATTGAATAATATAGTCAATGGGCAATGAAGCAGACAGGCTTTTTTATATTTACAAAAAATAATTTATAGTTCATAGTTTATAGTTTATAGTTTATTATATGTATAATAGTGCTCTGAACATAACTTGTCCTATTATTTAGTATGAATTCAAATCAAATGAACTGTAACACATTGTGTATAAGTCCAAGCTATATATATATATATATATATATATATATATATATATATATATATATATTCCCACTTGACATTTCAATTAAAAAGTACATAATATAGTAAAATTATCAGCTTTGAATAAACGTGCCATCAATGTTCTGTCTATCAAATACACCTATCAATTCTGAGAATAATAACTGTGCAAACAAAATACTCTCGTCGAGAGCTACTGTGCGCGATTTTAATGTTTCGACAAACATCTGAAAAATGCGCGAAGTGATCGCATAATAGCACGAAATATTGTTGCAAAAAGTGTAAAGCACCGGCTTGTAACGTATATATATATATGATTAAAAAATTTAAAATATTTTAAAGTATTTTTTAAATATTTTTCTGAATCCATATATTAAAATATTGCGGATTTCGATTTCTAATGATTTTTTTCAAACTCTCTTGCTGAGTAGCCTATAATATTAGATTTTTCAAATTTTATTATTTATTCAATTTTTCTTATATATATTTGATTTGCCTTACATGTAGAGTATTTGAAAAATATGTGATTTGGAGTTTCTAATGCCTGTTTTGCGTGATTCCGTGCAATTTGCTCAGTAAACGGTGGTGTTCATTGAAATCAATCAACTAACCCTAATTTTTCAATTCCATTTATTGTAATTAAAAATTACTTATTTCTATCTTATCTCAGATTTCTATGCCCACCGTTCCGCTCCGTCATCGCCGCCGTCTTCCAAAGACTTGTGCGAAGACATCAAGCGGCACCACAACGAGCTTAAAGCTCTCGGTCTCGACCAGCATCACCACCACGGAGGCGGAGTATCCGTAAGCTCGTCCGTTGTATCGGGCATCCGTTCGGCCGGCCTGCACACGTCTATGTGCGACGTGCAGGGTCTGGCCAACGGTTCCGTTCCGGCTTCCTCGACACCAGGATCGATGGTCAGCCAGCAGTCTACTCCTGGATCGGCAGCGTCAAATATGAACGGTGGCGGTTCCTCAGGATTAAGCGGGAGCGGTGGACAGGACAACGATAAACCAACAAAACAGAAGAGACATAGGACAAGGTTCACACCGGCTCAGTTGAATGAACTGGAGAGATGTTTTAGCAAAACACATTATCCTGACATATTTATGCGGGAGGAAATTGCGATGAGAATCGGTCTCACGGAATCGAGAGTTCAGGTAAGAATAGGTTAGATGAAAATAGATCCACCTTTGCGAATTAAAAACGTACTACACTAATAATCATCAAGATAGGGATTAATATTTCTTTAACGGTAACCACGGTCAATACGACTTTTATAAGAAAACTTGTCTAGATTCATTGACAAATGTAATTTCATTGATGAACATCTGTATGTCGGTTCTTCGACCTTGGCAATAACTCTATCATATCATTAGACCTCACAATGAAGACCCCTCATCAAAGTCTAAGCGTAATGTAGGTGCTAAAATACCTCCCACCGCGCGTTTCTAACCCGAACGATCCAAAAAAAAAAAGCCACGAGGCCTGCTGTGCTACCTGTGTTTTTTCTGTTTCTTCCTTTTCAGCACACCACGGCATAATAATGTACATTTTAATAATATTTTAACATGTATTTTCTAAAGCAATAAAAACAAACCGAAATAAAGGAGAACTTTATTGGAGGTGTTTTTATGGTTCGTTATGCGGTAGAGAACTTCGGAAGACCGCACGTCACGTTGTTCCAAGTTAATATACTGACAAGATTTGACACATATATAAAAATTACAGTAAGGTTCGAGTGTAATTCGTTCACTGAGTGTTTTATAAAATTAATTATTTATGAAAATTAATGCTTTTTGTTGAACGACTTGCTGAAAATATTAGCATAGTTTAATTCGTAAATAAATCGTTATGGAATTGATATAAATATAAATGACAATTTTGATCGATGGTTAAAATTTCATATACTGTATTCCTTTAGGAACCTCTAGTAGATGCACATATTTGAGTATATGTGGCAAATGTGGCAAATAAGCAATCCGATTTTACAGAAACTTTAAACTACGGTCAAAAACCTTTATAAAGCAATATCATTATTCAATTAATTCTTTACAAACATATACAAACTGAAGTTATATGATGAACTACCAACGAGTATAAAAATATGTACTTAAAAATCAAATTTATCTCACGTCAATATTTTATGTCTGTCCACCAAAGATTTGGCCTCTAAGATACTTTTCAATATGATGAAGATCTACCACTTGATCACAATTACGAGCAAATTACATAATCATTTTCCCGCTGGGACATTTGAATTAATATGCAAACGTGTACATTACACACATTATGGGCCGTCAATCATCACGTGTTTAATATGTTTTGACTTTTGAAATCGACGCTGACGCACGTTTGGTTTCTTTGTTACCTCGACAATGCGGACACATAGAGTGCTACTGTTATGTATACCTCATCATCATCATCACGACTTCAGGAGAAGAATAATTCTGTTTCTACAGGTATTCTTAAATACTTTGTTGCATCCCAAGAATCGTTCAATGGAAATAATGGACATTGAAATGATCGTCAACTCCAAAAGTTCTCCTTTTCAATATTTCTTCAAACGGATCGAATTCTGTTGTAAGATTGGCAAAAGATATTAAATTTTTGATTAATGGATTATAAAATCAATCTTCAATGTACCAATATAAATTATGGCCTATGAATTAGAATTGTAAGTAATTATAATAATTGAAATAATTCTGCAACATAATTAACGATTAGACACAAAAATCTGATAACATAGAACTGAATGAATTTATAGACAGTTTAGTTTATATTTTTTGTAATATAAAGAAAATACTATTATGTGGAAAAGCTTTTAAGGTGCCCATGATCCGTATTAGATATTTAACATGCACAACGCAACGCCCTATTCTGTTTTCGTTTTTGTATTCAATAGGTAAACACACACAACCCAAGATTTCATTTAAACTGACAAAAACACACGGATCTCAAGATTGTGTTCGATTCTATTGTTTTTTGTTCATACACAGAATGTGCGATGTATTGAAAAGCTACATTAATTGTATGTACAGAAACAGAGATGTATGTTGAAAAATAAAAATTAGATCTTTTGGAATTGCTAGCTTACTAGTTAATTTTTATAAAAATCTAATAGGAAAAAGCTGTAAACTATATGTTGCAGAAAATATGAAAACGTATATTTGCAAATACTGTTGAACTGCAAAACAGGGAATGCCTATCAAGGTTTATATGAAACAGAAGCTGTGTGAAAAATTTGGAATATAATACGGTCAAAAAATAGTGTAGGAGTGCTTCTCAAAATAATAATGAATTAGTGAATACTTTGTCAAAAGAATGAAAAAAAAATGTAATTTTTAGAAAGTGTTTTTTCAAAAACCGTCCCTGTATCTAGATTTACTCTGACCGTGGAGATGTATCTCACGTGTTCGGTAATGTGGTAGCATTGTTGTGTAATTGGCGTCGCTACTGAATATTCTGAGTATTGAGTATTCTAACCGTACACATTCTTATTCATTTCTGTGGATAAATTGTCTCTGAAGAAATGGACAAAGGACAATTCTCCACGCGGTCCATCAATGACAAAACAAGCACAGATTGTCGAAGAACTAGGGCAAGACTGCGGCACTCGTGCACGGAATATCTAATATATGAATACCTGACTCTGTATTTATTCATACAAAGCTTTAAAATGAATATGGATGAAGGTTAATTTATTGAAAATATATTAATATTGTATTAAACACTTATTACTAGTTTTATCCGGATTAACAAAATTATTGATCTTGCAAAAAAGAATTAAGAACATTAGATTTTTTAATCAGATTTTCTGAATTTCAAAATATTTTGAAAATTTGTGAGAATGGAGATTTATGTGTTTGAAGATGATGATAATGTTTTACTCAAAAAGTTCTTAATACCAAATTATAAAATATTATGAATTTTAATTATTAGAGATTAACACGATTAGAGTTGTTAAACTTATATTCAGCAGTTATATACGTAGACGGCCATAATTTTTGAAAAGTGTTAAGTTTAGACAGTATTTATCAGTTAAAAAAGTACTATTGTTAATTTAAATATTTCGTTCGTGTTGAACTCAAACTAGTTCACTACCCAAATCTTATTGAGTATTTTTTTTATTACGAGGGCTTTTTCTCATTTTTGGTGGTCTGCATTTACAAACTGGTGGTAATTGTTTGGAAGCTTAAGAGCGAGATCCAAAATCCCGATGTTTCTCTTGAAACAATTAACTGCGAAGTAGCTAATCCTGCAGACGGCGTGTTAATTCCGGTTGTCTTAAGAATGAATTCATTTTCATATGAAATTATTATCACGTTAATTTAGCTTAGTTAATTTTGAAACTAAATTAATTGTGTTTATTAGGATTTATTTATGAATCGTATTTCGATAATTTTTTAAGTGAATGAAAAATAATCAGGTTTCAGAGATCTAGTGGAGATACAATTCAATACCTGCAAATATTTAAAATATTGTTGTTTTTTAATAAATCTGATTCAAAGTCACCGAGCACAACATATATATTTAAAACAGAAATAATATTCAACAAAATTGTTGTCAGCTATAAATACTTTATTTTGATGTGTATTTTACCCAAACTCGCGCAATTTTTTTTGTAACATGAATTAGTATGCTAATATCTGCTACAAGGATAAAAAAATAATATATATTATATTTGAACCGACATTAAAATATCGTTGTCGACTCATTGGACTTTGGCAGAACCTTAACACTTTGTAACATACTGGGTGTGATATATATATATATATATATATATATATATATTAATTTTTCCAAACCGTATCATATATTTTTGTTGATTAATTTATGTATTTATTATGTTATATTCTGAAAATGAGTGAAACTGAATCTCGAAACGCTTCTTTACTTTTCTTTAGATTTTCTAAACATAACTTTTTTCAAAAATGGTACAGTACCTTTCGAGAAAACACCATAATGGCAAAAATTGTCATAACCTGGAAGATCAATCACTCATCTTACATTTAGATATCGATCATATTCTAAAAGGCAAAAGTCAAATCTTTTCGATAGTCATCGCCCTTTTGCCCCGTCTATTAAGCATTCATCACAGAGTATTATGATTCATATGGCGTGAAACACACTCCCGTGTACTAATATTAGCACCCTCTCGCACACAATGCACCCGCAACATTTACTAATTCATCATGCCCAATATAATACCTAGTGGCGTACGTAACAAGGGCATGCATTAAGGGATGCTATTATTTTAAAACAGACACCACCCACCCCCTGTCCTATGCCAAGGAATTTATCATATCGTGCATTAGATTTTTTGAATGAATTTGAAAGTGATTACTGTGGTTACCGAAAGCACATACTTATTTATAAAAAACGAGAACAATAGATCACTCAAATATTCTGAATATAATCTTAGCAAAAATATTATCATATTGTGCATTATAATGCATCACATTCTGCAAAGCAATTGTTTTTGATAAAAAAAGGTCCTTGAAGCTCATAGAGCAATATTACACTTGTGTTAGAACATATAATTACTCCTTTAGAAAAAGTCATGATTAATAGGCATAAAAGAGTCACCATTTAAAAATATTCTCGATACAATCTCACAGAAAAGTCCTGGATACATACGTCGGATATTGATCATTTTAAACAATAATAAATATTATTTAGGACATAATACAGCTTTTCTTAAAATAATAAATGCATGCATGTTTTGAAAAATCTATTTAACTACTAAAGTATTTGCAAGCATATTCATCACGAGATCTTAATTACTAATTTCTTTTTGTATACGACACACGTATTCATTTAAATTTAAAAATGTATTCAAGCATACATATTTTTTTAAGAATTCTACAAACAAATAGAAGCTATTTAGTAGAAACCACAAAAGTGAATCGAATTTTTAAATTAGATCTTTATTCATTTTAATAAGTGGAGCGTGGCGGATGCATTCTCGATATATGCAAATAGAGCACGTAGGTGTAAAAATGTATAAAGACAAAAGTGTTTATTGAAAGTTGAGTATACAGACATCAAAAAATTAATTTTATGCAGAAGCTATTTACTAATAAATCTTGCAAAAATAAAAACAAAAGTAAAATTTCGACATATGAATATTTATTGTAAGGAGCTAGCCTATTGTGGC